CTCTGTGGTGGGGCCGTCCTGTGCACTGTAGGGTGTCTAGCAGCATCCCTGGTCTCCACCCACTAGTCATTCTCTGCGGTGGGACCATCCCGTGCACTGTAGGATATTCAACAGCATCCTTGTTTTTCTACCCAGTATATGCCAGTAGCACCCTAAGTCCAGACAATCAAAAATGTCTCCAGACACTGACAAATGTCCCCTGGGGAAAAGTCACCAGGCGAGAACCACTGCTTAAATCATCCAATTCCCCAGGGCAGGTACATAAGATGTGTAAGGATGTTACAGGGCAGGGCTGCTAAAATGCTTTAAATAGAGTGTTGTGGAAAACCCTATGGAGCAGTTCTACTCAGAGCACGTGGGCTTGCCACGAGTCAGAATTGACTCAATGGCAACTAACAACGAGGATGTTGTGCGATAGTTTTATTCCCACAGGGGGTATGGAAGCAGGTTTCTGTTTTCTAATCTGGGCTGTCTCTAGGATGATAAAGGCATCTGATAGCTGAGTTAGCACCGGGATGATAGCGGGGTTAATAGGGCCTTCGATCTCAGCACAGAGACCGTATCAATGGGGTGACTTAGGTCAACAAGCATCACCAACACCCGTAAAGCGAGTAAGCAACAGAAGGGAGTCTTCAGTATTGAGTAGGTGCTCTGCTCAAGACACGGCAGAAGCACCAAACACTTGGGTCTACCTGAGCAGGAGCCCTGGTGAAGTGCTTGGCTGCTAACCGAAAGGTCTGAGGTTTAAAGCCACGAGCTGCTTCGCGGGAGCAAAGACCTGATGATCTGCTCTCCTAAAGATTTCAGCCTAGGAAACCCTATAGGGCACTTTTCCTCTGTCACATGGGGTCGCTATGAGTTGGAATGGACTCACGGACTAACAGCGACAATCTGAGGAGGCTGTTTCCTTCTTTGACAGGCGTGCGTAAGAAAAACCGACGCACCTTACTCAGCCTCAGACTGAGGTGGCCAAGAGGTTCCAGCATTAAGATGTCCCTTTATTGATGGGGTGACTTCCTTGTTTCTGGTTTTTTACCTCACCTTGCCTTTCCCCAACCGAAGGGAAAACAATTTGAAAGATATTATGAAAGTGAACAGTAGTGATGACTTCAATAAAATGGCCCGTGAGAGAAATGATGTAGTTAATGAGATTACCTGAACGCCGTTTGAGCTACTCGAGGCTGGATTAAGTTTTGTTCCCAGGATGAGAACTAAGACCAACGCGTAGATGGAACAGGGAGTGAGATTTTTGGCTTTATCTAAGACAAACCCTGCCAAAACGTTCATACTCTCCTGTGTTCTGCCACTGGAGTGTAAAAAGAAGATTTTGACAGGAGTAGAAGATCTTACTATTTTCCTTCATCCCTCCCGTTTTATGAGTGTATGATCCTGAATGCATATTCAACGGGGAAAAGAAATGGACTTATATGTATCTTACAACTACTTCTCACTATGTTAGTGAAAAAAATGGCAAATGTCCACATGTCGTCTATACTGTACTTTCACACACTAATGTGTTTCCTCCTCACAACAACCCTGTAAAATCTGAGATACTATTGAAGTCAGTTTTCAGACAAGGAATTAAGGCCCAGGAACGTTAAACAGTCACCCAGCAATGGAAGCAGGATTGGAACCTATGCAGAACCACTCTAGAATCTCTGACCCTACTCCTGCACCAGCAAGGCTCCAGGTGTGGTCCTGAGACCCTTGAGGATCTATGCCAACCTTCAGCAGGTTCGGGAGGTGGAAGTTATATTCATAACAACACTGAGAGGTTATTTGCCTTCTTTACCCTCACTCTTTCAAGAGCATACGGTGGACTTTACCAGAGGCTGTATTGCCTGTGATGGCATCATCATCTTCGCAGCCAATGGAATGTGTGCTTGAGGGCTCTTGCATTAAAAAAAAAAAAAAAATTCCATTTTAATTTCTAATATGATAAGCATTGATAGTTATAACCCACAAAAGTCAAAGATCTTTGGGGTCTTCGATAATTGAAGAGTGTCAAGGGGTCTCAGGATCACAATGTTCGAGCACTGCTGCCTCTTTTGGGTGTGTGCTGGGGTGCTGTCAGGGGCTGTCAAGTCAGTTCTGACTCACAGCAACCCCGTGTACAACAGAACGGAACGCTGCCCGGTCCTGCACCATTCTCACAATTGCTGCTGTGTTTGAGCCCATTGTCGCAGCCACTGTGTCCATCCATCTCATTGAGGGTCTTCCTCTCTTTAGCTGACTCTCTCCCAAGCATGATGTCCTTCTCAAGGAACTGGTCCCTCCTGATAACATATCCAAAGTAAGCAAGACTTCATCTAGTGTTGGGGTAACCTGTTGTCGTCGAGTTGATTCTGACTCATAGCGACCCTACAGGACAGAGTAGAACTGCCCCATAGGGTTTCCAAGCAGCAGCTGGTGGATTCCAACTGCCTACCTTTCGGTTAGAAGCTGAGCTCTTAACCACTGCACCACGAGGGTTCATAGGGGGAGGTATACGTCCAAAGAAGAAATTGGAAAACCCAAAGCAGACATTTGAAAGCTATCTGGAAAACAATGGGGGCACAAACAGTGCAACAGGCTCGAAAACAACGGAGGTGAGAACACTCCGGCGCTGGCTGAGCTGTCGTTCTGTCTTTGGTGCCCCTTTCCTCTGAGTTCTGCAGGCAGCTGCCTGCACGGCATTAGCCTAGCCTACCACCAAACTAATGAAAACAATTAATCAGCGTGCTTCCCTTAAAACTCTTCTGACTGGTAATAACACTTAGGAAGAAACCATTGGCAATGTCATATGAAGTTGTCTTTAAATTTAAGAGGAAGACGTTCCATTTAGAACTTGCTAAATGAAGACATGCTGGGAAATAGAGCCCTCAACTGCAGAGCCAGCTGCCTTTCTCGCTGCTGCAGCAAAGAGCTGCTAAGTAGGGCTGAGAGAAAAGGAAGCATGATTAAACCGGAGGAGGTCAAAGAGGGCAGGTGACAGTTGACCAACGGGGAGCCAGTTAGCAGGACAGGTGGGGAGGACAGTATCAGCAGAAAGTGAAAAGTCACCCAGTCCATATCACTGGTCATTTAAAACAGTCAGTACCTGGGCATTTATAACGCACGGGGATAAAGGAATTGACCAAGGGGTCTTTAAGTTGACACGCTAGGCTGTTACCCAAAAGGTTGGAGGTTCGAGTCCACCCAGAGGTGCCTCAGAAAAAAGGTCTGGCCATCTGCTTCCAAAAAATCAGCCACTGAAAACCCTATGGAGCACAGCTCTACTCTGACACACATGGGGTCACCATGAGTCGGAGTCAGCTCCATGCCAACTGGTGTTTAACCCACCCATAAGCTCCAGAACTGGACACAGATGACAGGTCCAGCCGGAGGTGCCGGCCATCCCGAGGTCCAACCAGGACAGACTCCCCTGCCTCTCAGTACCTGTCCTCGGGCAGTGGCGAGCTGGCAAGCTTGGCCACCGTGGGGAAGATGTCCATGTTGCTCGTGGGTTCATCGGTCTCTTGCCCAGCCTGTATCACGCCGGGCCACCGGAGGATGCCTGGAACCCGAATACCTCCTTCCCAATTGTTTGCTTTTCCTCCTAAAAGTGAAGAGAGGTAACAGGAAGATTTAATCTCCTCAGCACTCACCGCCTTATATAACATGGGCCAGTCAATTTGTTGAAAGAACCTAGTACTCTCCTTATGTTGAGTCAATGAGTATATCATAATGCTATTAATACTAATAAAACATATTGGAGCCCTGGTGGCGCAGAGGTTAAGAGTTCGGCTACTAACCGAAAGGTCAGCAGTTGGAATCCACCAGGCGCTCCTTGGAAACCCTGTGGGGCAGTTCTACTCTGTCCTATAGGATCACCATAAGTCGAAATTGACTCGATGGCAACGGGTTTTTAACTACAGGAATGGTGCCCAGCTACCACTACTGACTAGCCTGATCAGGGTCACAATAGAGGGACCCTGACAAATGGGGAGAAAAATGTGGAAAGGAACCTCAAATTATTAAAAGAAATCCAGACTTACTGGACTGGCTGAGGCTGGAGGATTCCCCAAGACTATTGCCCTGTGATACTCTTCAAACCTTGAACTGAAATTAATCCCTGAGTTCACCTTGTAGCTAAACAGCAGAGTGGCTCACAAAATAAATAATATCACCCATAAGTACTGTGCTCCTTTAAAAAATCACCTACAGGAGACCAAACCATCAACAATTACTTTAAAACAAACATGAGACTGTTAAGGGGGCAGGGAAACTAGATTAACGGAAATGGAACAACCGGAATGGAAATAATGAGAATGTTCACCCATTGTGAAGAATGTAACTAATGTCACTGAACAATTTGTGTAGAAATTGTTCAATGGGAACCTAAACTGCTGTGTAAATCTTCACCAAAAACACAATAAAATACTATTGAAAAAACAAACATACATAACACTGTATACTGTGTTTAGACATGGCGTACTCAGTACATGCAAGGGATACTGAGCAACTTTTCATTTCTTAAAGGTAATTTCTTATAGCTGTAGATTGCAGACTGAATTAGTTTTACAGGCAAGATCTATAAAGTGCATGAACTCCTATGTTTTATATACACAGATTTTAGGCAGAATTCATGTATGAATTCATGTAAGAGTCTGCAGGTTTTCTAGCGCCCTCCTTAAAGAAGTTAAAACTCTTCCCCTTCCTTTATCTTTTCAACATCACCTTGAGGTGCTTTTCTGACAAATACTGTTATTCTTGCTTCCCAGACACCACATCCAAGACATGAAAATTTTAAATAATTTCCCAAAATTCATGCAAGCTGTCAAAGGCAGAGCTGTGAGAGGAATCTCACTATGTGAATTACAGTCTGGTTATCCCTCAGTAGATCAATCTCATAGCAACACTGCACCTTAAATCGAACCACCACAGAAAAAGGGATTGCTACATATCAAAAAAGGACTAGCTGCGTTAATGGCTTTTACATATACTTAGTAGCCCATGAGGGGCACAAATGGTTAAGTGCTCGGCTACTAACCGAAAGGTTGAAGGTTCCAGTCCACCCAGAGGCATCTCAGAAGAAAGGCCTGGCTATCTACTTCTGAAAAATCAGTCATTGACAACCCAATGGAGCACAGTTCTACTTTGACACACATAGGTCTCCATGAGTCACAATCCACTTGAAGGCAATTTTTTTTTTTTAGCCTATTGGTTAAAATAAAGCTGAGGAAATGAATGGGAAAGTTGGCCACTAATAAAATTTTAAAAAAGCACTCCCTAAACATTTATCTTCTAGGTGCAAGGTAGCATTGTTGATTAGACCCTGGAACAGACACAGGATATCCTTGGAAAAACTGGCGAAATCTGAATAATGTGTGTAGTTTAGTTAATGATGCACTGAGATTAATTTCTTAGTTTTGACAAATACATGATGGTTACGTAAAATGTTAACATTAGGGGAAGCTGGATGAACGGTATACAGGGACTCTTGTATTACCTTTACAATTCTTCTGTAAATCTAAACTTACTCCAAAGTACATGGCACTTATGTCCCATGTATAGTAAGTTTTATATATATAGATGAACATTTTATATTATCTACATATAAATATTTTATACTTATGATATATATAAGGATTCCTTGGCTAAATGATTAGGAGCTTGGCTGCTAACTGAAAGTTTGACGGTTTGAACCCACCTAGTCGCTCGGCGGGAGAAATACCTCGCGATCTGCTCCCATAAAGATTTCAGCCTAGGAAACCCAATGGGGGCAGTTGTACTCTGTCATATGGGGTTGCTATGAGTCAGATTGACCCAATGACACCTAACAACTCTCTCTCTATAGATATAGATATATATACACATAATCTGAAAACTAGCTGTGGATGGAACCATATATATGTTGCCCAGTCCTGCACCATCTTTGTGATTGTTGGTATCCAGTCCATTGTTTCCGCCACTGTGTATATTATGTGTTTGTGTATGTGTGTGTATATACACACACACATAGTTCCATCCACAGCTAGTTTTCAGATTACAGATGATTATACACAGGATATGTTCAGGAGGAGAACATTTGAACCCACATCATAACACGCTTAACTCACAGTTCATAATGTATAGTTAGAAAGCGAAGAAAGGCATCAATAAACATAATCCCATACACTTTCCTAAATCCATAAAAGGAGTATTTTTACAACAGCAATGGTAAAATATATATATATATATATATATTTTTCTTTTCCCCCAAAGAGGTGATAAACACACAGCCATATCCTGCCGGTGGAGAAGCATGTTTTATGAAGTAGGATGACACATTTCTGGGCATGCACTGATGAATACACACCCTCGCTCGTCAGAGGGTGTAACTTGCAGGCTCATTCCTGCCGTCACATTTCTTGAAAAGGTGTAAGTTCCACGTGTGCCCGTCAGGCTTACCCAGTACAGCACACTGCTCTCCTGGGCTCTGCCATCTATCATTGTCATTAAGTGGGGTTCACAGGAAGTGCACCCCAGGGCCCGAAGTCAAGAGGATGAACCATGGATACTTCATCCATCCAGCAGATGTTGGAGTAATGATGGACTTTAGCACGTGCCAGGCACTACTCAGGCTCAGTATATGCATTAACTCATTCGACCTTCAGGATCCATCTGGGAGGTAGGGACCTGACTTTACAGCTGCAGATTCTTTCCTCAAGGTTACATGGCAAGGTAGTGACAGTACCAGGTTGAGTTGCTGAGTCTGTGCTACTACTAGACCTTACTGATTCTCAGAACCACACTGCCCTTGTTAGTTGCCACTGAGTCGGCTCTGACTCCTGACAACCCTATGTACAAGAGAACAAAATGTTGCCCAGTCTGGCGCCATCTTCATGATGCTCCAGTCCACTGGGATGCTCCAGTCCACTGTGGCGACCACTGTGTGTTCTGAGTGCCTTCCAACCTAGGGGGCTCATCTTTCGGCACTGTATCAAACAATATTCGGTTACAATCTGTAGAGTTTTTACTGGCTGATTATCAGAAGTAGATCACCAGGCCTTTCTTCCTAGTCTATCTTAGTCTGGAAGCTCCAATGAAACCTGCCCACCATGGGTGACCCTGCTGGTATTTGAAATACTGGTGGCACAGCTTCCACCATCGCAGCAACACGCAGGCCACCACAGTACCAAAAACTGACAGACGGGTGGTGGCAGAGGCACACAGCCAGACACAAAGGTACATGAAAGGTGAGCTCTACCTTATAGAAACTCAGAGTCTCAAAAGATGGCTCAGATGGACCCACAGGTCATTGTGGGCGCCGTGAAAAAGGACAGAACGTCTCTTTTACCTGGGACACCTGCCCCAAGCCCGTGCACTGCTAGCTTTTCAGTTGGGTTTCCAGGAAAAATAAGGTAGGAACAACGGAGATGGAACTGGGGGATAGGAAAAAAACAATTTAAGGAATCTATTTTTTTTCTGGATATTCATGAGCAGAGAAAAAGGCATGCTCTATATTTAAGACTCGATCAAGTAATTGTCAAAGTCACACTTTTAACATCATGATGCCGGGACGGGAAGTCATCAAAGAATGATGGCTGACTTCCTCCATTTCTCTAGGGGAGTGCAGATGCAGAATCTTAAACAATTTACCCCGAGACTCTTGTTAGGAACAGCTGTTTCCAAACAGGGCTTCTATTTCTGTCCTTTCAAAGGCTGCCCCACAGCAGGTCAAACGACTTTTAATGGCAAGAGCATACGCTAGTCAGCTTGGGCTTGATATGTGCGTGGTTTTATAAAGTTTTCCATTCTTCATTCTTCTCCTCCCGGATGTCTCCTCACCCAGGATGACACTGATTCCCTGAATTGCTTCGAACCACGTGGGAGCTGGTGATGAAAGCAATTCACGCTAATTGGTTTCTCCCCCAAGATGCCATCTTCTACATGTTCCTTGATTTATGCATTTTAGGGACTAAGACATGCAAATTATACATGGCAGATATAATCACATGATCCAGGTTTTATCAACCTATTGTCAGCTTATTCTCAGGGCAAGAATGAAGAACAAGGACGTGCTGATGTCGGTACTCAAAAGAGGGGGAAATAACGGAAGGATGTTCCAGTTGTTGTCGTTAGGTGCCGCTGAGTCCCATGTACTACTCCCTGAAAACGGTGCATCCTTTCTCACTTCCTGGAAAGTTCCCTTGCTCCCTTTTCTTTTCGGTAATTGTGACAGGGTGAATGTGTTCGCATGTGGCCAGGGCATGAATTTTGGGGGGCCAAAGGGTGGGATGTTATGGATTGAACTGTGTTGCCTCAAAATATGTGTTGTAAATCCTAATCTCTATGCCTGTGGTTGGAGCCCTGGTGGCACAGTGGTTAAGAGCTATGGCTGCTAATCAAAAGTCGGCAGTTTGAACCCACCAGCCGCTCCTGGGAAACCCTATTGATAGCCAAGGCAGCCAGAAGCCGCTTACCCGCTCCTCTTGTCCGTTAGCAAACAAAACCTTAAGTGACGGCAATGGGTGTGGCTCAACTGGGAGCTGCTCAGACCTACAGGAACTGCCCCTCCAGTCCATTGTCCTCAAAGCGCTGGGTGTGGCTCAGGCCAGTCAAACCCAGTTCACT